CAACTGAGCTAGATAACAGAGAAAAGTGTTCTTCAAAACAAAAGTGACTAGTGATGTTGCAGCAAGAGAAAGCCAGGACTTAGAGCTTTATATAATGACAGTATGAAGATATTTGTTCTCTCCTTCTAGACTCTATAAAGGTAAAAACTATTAGAACAGACCTGCTCAAGACAAATTCATGTCTCTTGATCACAATGCACAGTATGGAAATAATTTGGAATTGAGGTCTCGAAACAGAAGGACAATATTAGGTGGTCACAAATAAATTAAACAATAAATTTATATTATTCATTTTATATTATCTATTTTGGTTTTCCAAGACAGGGATTTTCTGTGTAGCCCTGGCTACTCTCAATCTTTCTCTGTAACCACTCTGGCCTCAAACTCAGAGATCCACTTGCCTCTGCCTCTTGAGTGCTTGGATCAAAAAGATGTCCCACCCATGCCTAGCTAGTAAACTTATTTGTTAGTTGAAGTGGGGATTTAATAAAACTACAGAAGTTAATTTCTAGGCACTTCACAACAACATGATCAATGGTAGATCAAAAAGCAAATATGACAATTCTCCCTTGGTTCTTTGTTTCCTGTCACTTTATCAGATCACCTGGGTCCACACTACGTCAATGTCCTACCGTTTTGTTCAGCTAACAAATACTAATAATGTGTATTTGTAAGCTCTGTTGTGATATTTTATATGAATACATTGTGTGTAATTAAATCTAGGTAGTTATCATTTCTATCACCTGAAGCATCCCAACTTTGTGGTGAAGGCATTTAAAAAATTCCTGATTTCTGTACTAGAGGGATGACTCGTCCACTAAAGCCTAGGGTCACATCCCAAAACATCTTTTTCCCAAAAACATTTTTTAAAAATCCCTGTTTTCAGCCACTTTGAACTCTACAATATATTTTTGTTAACTAACATGATACTGTGCAGTAGAAACAAAAATCTCATTTCTTTCTTTGGAACAATTTGTTGAATTAGTAACTAGCTATTTTCAACTGAGAGTTGTTGGATTATGGTGATCTGGATGAGATGGTTGAGTGGGGTTGACACTGAACTTTCTTCTTGGCTCTACAATGCTCTACTTTAAAAAATCAATTATTAAATATTTTGACGTTCCTGAGCCCTGAGGAGGAAGGTATATGGTATATATGGTCAATTTAAGGCTGGACATTCTACCATCTCTTTCTCTGTACAACTTGGCCAGTTGTGGGCCACTTTATTAATCACAATCTGCTACAGACAGAAGCTTCCTTGATGAGGGTTGAGAGATGTATTAATCTATAGACAAAATAGTAAATCATCAGGAGTTGATGAGGGTCGAGAGATGTGTTAATCTATAGACAAAGTAGAAAGTCATCAGGAGTTGATGAGGGTCGAGAGATGTATTAATCTATAGACACAGTAGAAAGTCATCAGAAGTTGTTTCAGCACTATGTCTATTTTAGCAGAATGATGGTACTAGGTTCTTATCTAGGGCCTGTCTAGACAAGTACTTATTTCATTCTGTGAAGTGGGACTTAAAGCTAGTCAGAAAGTGATTGCTTATTTCCATGATGTTCATGCCACTATTGTACCTGTAGGCTTGTGTCTTGCCAACGCAGTCAAAATTGTGCCTCTCAGATTCACAACAGGAAGAGAGTGATGCCCATTTTTCTCCTCCAGCACCGTGCAAAGCACCCTCTAGCAATATGAATGCTAGACAGTAGAGATAAAATTCCTAAGTTTATCTCTGTAGGCTCTGTGTCTCAAGTACATGGTTTCTTCAACAATAAGGTCCTACCTTCAAGTTATGGAGGATAATCACAAGCAACAATAGCCTGGAATGTGTCGGGAGAGGGGGTCTATTGAACCTCACTGGCTTAGAACTCCAAAATAATTAATGCATTCTTGAAACTGAACTTTCTTATTGATTAAGCTATAGTGTCTAGTAGGGGAACGTTTGTCCTTTGATAGGTTAATCCATTTTAATTCTTGTTAGGCTTAAGGCTTATTTCAGTACAGGGGATAAAAAGAGTGTCATAATCAGAGGCAGTAGATGACACTAAGGAAACAGTGGCTGTGACATCATGCACAGGACCATAAGTCACCCACACTACAATAGAAGGTCACAAATCCAAGGATATTTGAGCAGTACAAATTGATCTTGATGGCTTTTATTCTAAAAAGAACAGAAATTTGGGTAGATAGGGAGGGGGTCAGATCTGTGAAGAGTTGGGGGGAAAAGGCAAATAAGATCAAAGCATGTGACATGAAATTCTCAAATAAGTAATAAAATATGCTTTCAAACCGTACTTTCACAAATCATAAATGCCTAGTCAGTACAGCAAAAACACCATTTAACTGAATCAAGATCCAGTATTTTTGACATTCCAGGATAAGCTTAATTTAACAAGATTAAATGTAATAAAGGTAACTTAACCTGAACTCAAGTTCAAGGTATTAATGACATAAAAAAGGAGACTGAGTCTAGTTTTTGATGCTTGACTGCTGACACAACTTAATCTTTGCCTTCTTCCCTTCACCTTTCTTCTCATATCAGAGAAAGCATTTAGGAAGGAAGGAGGGAGGGAGGCAGGCAAGCAGGAGGGCCTGGAAATCCCTTTTTTGAGATATAAGGAAAGCAAATTAATTTCTTGCCTGTGTATTGACATCTTCACAAACCTCCATCCTCCTTCCAACAATAAGAGACTCAGTCTCGAAGGATTCCTATCCTGGTCTCCTGGGAGACCTTCACTGAGCAATAAAGCTGTTGATATCATGCAGCTATCTCTGTGAGCGCTGTGCCACCAGTCCCTGCACAGAGGGTGCGATAGGGGGCAGGGTTCCTCAGTAAGAGAACTGTGGTTCAGTTTAGCGGCAACAGGGAAGAGAACTCCGAAGGTAGAAATGGAGAAATCAGAAAGAGAAGACTCAAGTCCACAGCATGAATGAGCTCCCAAGAAGACAGGAGTCTTAGAGTCTTGAGCAAACGTTTCTCTAAGGGAAGATGACTGCTGCCACCCTGCAGGCAAGAGAGGACAAGTGCACGCGCTCCTGTCTGCTCTTAAATCACTAGCCCTCAGGGTGGTATTAATTACCCAGACTTTTCAATTTCAATTTTATTCAGGTGCTGGTAATTATTGTATGCTTATCTTCAATTCAGACCTCCAGGTGGATTACAAGAGACATCTCAGACTTGACAGATACAAAGCTTAACTCCTAGTTTTCACCACTAACCTGTGTTCTTAACAGAACTCAGATCAGTAAATGATGCTTCGGGTTGAAAAACATGGCATCAGTTTTGACACCAATATTTCTTTTACAACATACTTCTGATCAGAAGGTTGACAAATCCTCTTAGCTCTCATTTAAAACAACATGTAGAATTCTACTGCTTCTCAATTCCACTGCTATACCCAGTCCCCATAATACCATTATATCTCACCTACCTTATTGCAATAACCTCATATCTGGCATTGTCTCACTTTCTGTCTAATCATCACCAGACACCAGAGTGGTTTTTTTTTTTTGCTAAAAATAACATCAAATCACTCCTCTGTTCCAGCAGCATCCACGGCTTTCAGGGTAATAGCAAGCGTCCTAACTGAGCTGATTCCCTTGTACCTTGCACACTCCTCTAGTTTACTCTTCCCAACCTCACGCATGACCTTCATGTCCTTTCTTTGATGGATCAACCTTTCTGTAACCTTTAGGATATTTAAACTTGTATCATTGTCATGGAAATAATAGTGTCAGTGGCTATATGTTTCACGTCTTCATTTTCTTACGCTTCCCTTAAATCATACCTTCCCACTGAGGCCTCCCCTGATCACAAGTAATGACTGCAATTATATTTGCTCCGCTCATATGTTAAATCCTCATTTACTTTCATTGTTTTCTCCCCATAACACATTTTATGTTGTATAATTAATATTACATAATTTCTATCTTCTTCACGAACATATAAGCTCCAGGATGATAAAAAATTTACCTTCTTGTTATTTTTCTGCATTTATCACAGTGCCTGGTTTATTACAGACACACCAAATGGTCTCTTGAAGGAATGACTCTCATTCTTTTAATTATAATATAAACAAGAACAAAAGCTCAGATGCAGGACAAGACAATAATGATAAACAAATAATAGGAAGCATGAATCAATATCAGTAGCCTGGAAAAGAGTAGACCTGATGGAAGTAGAAGAAAATAGGTGGTGGTTTTACACAGTAGAAAGTTTTAGAGACATCAGGGCTATATTATGAGAATAAGTTATCCTAACAAATTTTCATTTCAAAGTTATTCATTGGTATAAGTAAATATATGCAAGACACAGATTTCAACTCAATTTAGCATATTTCACAAAGTTTGAGTGTTTCAGGAATGTACTGGGCTGCCCCTGAAGAAACAAGCTTCTTCATGAATTCAAAGGGATAATGGTCACAGGTAATATTTATCTGATATTAGTACATGATAACTTTATTCTATTTATGAAGCTATGTACCTAAGGTATTATTTAAACCCATGGACATGGGTAATACAAAATGTGAAGCAGAAAAATAAAACTCACTGTTTGTTAATACATAGTTGATGCAGTACAGTAATTTTTATAGCTTTCTAGATAAACTGCAAAAGTTTTATGTCATGAGATTTCTGGCTAAGATGGCAAATAAAATGCCACTTCTGTGCAACCTAGCAGTTGTTATCTTCTTTAGCTTAGTCTCTAACCTGTCCAGATAGACTTTCCTCTGCATATATTTTATAGTATTCCCTCTATGAGTTCTCGTACCTCTACCCAATATACTTTATCATTCATTGTTTAATCCTTCATTTTCCATTTTTGAATTTCTTCCTCATTTTAAATACTAATTTACTTTAAATACCCTTAGCTCTGAAGAATGATAAACTATACTTCTCCCACCATCCCACAGGTGCTGCTGTCTCTAGATTTTATTGGAACATGGGCAAGTGGCTCCTTTTGAAAATTAACACCAAAACTGACCTTAAATTTTCTTACCTCTTACTACAGTCAGCTTCTCTCTGGACACTATCAGGTAACAAAATCCAAGTGAAGATAACTCAAAGAAACTAAAGCCTAGACCAAAAAAAAAAAGAAAAGAATTAATAAAGAAAGAAACATAAGAACACAGGTTACTGTGACCTCTCCACAAGCTCACAACTGCTTAGTACTGGAAATGAAAGAGAATGAGATAGAGGAAGGACCAGGAGAGGGTTTAGAGTCCTACTTTTCAAAAGAATAAGCAGCAGCACAGAGGACTTAGCAAATAGATGAAGTAAGGATACCAAGTAAATACTAAGAAAATCAAATTAGTAAGGTAGACCAGATGTTTCACAGTTTGGAAAACATTTTTTTAAAGAAAGGAAAACTTCCACAAGGAAATTAAAACTCTGAAAAAGAACCAAAATATAAATGCTAAGTCAATTGACAACATTTTAAAAATATATATTGTGTGCAGATATTATGTCACCTGTAGACTATATTGTACAAAACAGATTTTAGGCAAGGAGGACAAGATTGAGACAATCACAGGTTCACATTTATAGAGGAATAATGGACATGAGCTGAGTTTTTGGAGAGTTAGTGTGTGTTCAAAAGTCTAAGTCTGAGATTCAGTAGCACAGAAGATGAGCTGAGATAAAATCTAAAGACACAATAATTATCCCAATGAAATAAAATCTGATACATTCCCATATCTTGAGCAAGGAGTAACCAAAAAAAGCCAAGAGTCATTTATAAACCCAAATATACATGACCAGAGAACCTCTTTACAATATTTTATCACCAAGACTTCAAAAATACAAGCCAAGGAAACAATATTAAAAATCTTTAAGCAGAAAACATTCCATCTCAAATAAAAATTAAAACACAGCCAAATAATACTAGGCATCTCATCATCAACCCTAAAAATCATAAAGGAATGTAATGATACATTTTAAACCATGAAAGTAAATAGCTATCAATCTCAGTTTCTGTCTTAATTAGGGGTTTATGGCTATGAAGAGACACCATGACCATGGTAACTCTTTTCTTTTAATTGATTTTATTGAGCTATACATTTTTCTCTGCTCCATTCTCTGCCTCTCCCCTCCCTTTATATGCTCCTCCATAGTCCCCATGCTCCCACTTTACTCAGGAGATTTTGTCTTTTTCTACTTCCCATGTAGATTAGATCCATGTTTCTCTTAGGGTCCTCATTGTTTTCTAGGTTCTCTGGGATTGTGAATTGTAGGCTGGTTTTCTTTGCTTTATGTCTAAAAGCCAATTTTGAGTGAGTACATATGATATTTGTCTTCTGTGTCTGGGTTACCTTATTCAATATGATGTTTTCTAGATCCATCCATTTGCCTGCAAATTACAAGATGTTATTTTTTTGCTGTGTAGTACTCCATTTTGTAAATGTACTACAATTTTCTTATTCATTCATCGGTAGAGGGACATTTAAGTTGTTTCCATGTTCTGGTTATGACAAACAATGCTACTATGCACATAGTTGATTACATGTCCTTGTGGTACAATTGAGCATTCTTTGGGTATATACCCAAAAGTGGTATTGCTGGGTCTTGAAGAAGGTTGTTTCCTAATTTTCTGAGAAATCGCCATACTGATATCCATGGTAACTCTTATAAAGGAACGCATCTAATTAGGGCTGGCTTATGGTTTCCGAGGTTTAGTCTATTATCATCATGGCAAGCATGGTGGTATGTAGGTAGACATAGTTCTGGTGTAGGAGATGAGTTCTATATCTAGATCTGTGGGTACAGACAGAGAACTGGCTTGAGTTTCTGAGACCTCAAAGTCCACTCCCAGTGATACACTTTTTTTCAATAAAGCAAGACCTATATCAACAAGGTCATACATCTTAAGAGTGCCATTTCCTATGGACCAAGCATTCAAACACATGAATTTATGGCAGGCCTTTCCTGTTCAAATCACCACATTATAGTTTCTAACTTTCATAAGCTTGCAGCCAAAAACAATGAAAAATCCTTTAAGAGCACATTCTTTGAGTCTGTAACTAAGAAAAAGGTGTCCATTCTTCACTTTTATTTAACATAGTGCTCAAGGTATTAGGTAAAATAAGAGAAAGAGATAACAGTGATATATACAGGAAAGAGAACATTAAATTATCCCTATTTTCAAATAACATGATCCTATATTTAACATAACATAAAAACTTACCCCCGGACTCCCAAACTCCCTAGAATTGACAAAGGTGATTCCCTGGAATTAATAAAATTCTATATAGCAAAGGTAACAATCACGAGAGTAAGAAGATATCGTGGGAAGAGGAAGAAAACTATACATCATCTTTGCCAACTATACTACATTGTTGCCAATTATATGTCAGACAAGAAATTAATACCTACAACATCAAAGAACTATTAGAATGAAACAGATAAATCTCCAAATCTGTCAATAAATAAATAGGATAGTCAATTGAATAGACAGCTTTCAAAAGAAAAAATAGTTGCTGTGGGACAATGGTTTGTGCCCTCTCACTTGTATTTTAAATAAACACTGATTGACCAAAAGCCAGGTAGGAAGTAGAGGAAGGACAATGGCCTTAATATTAATCCTTTACCTAATGTTAATATTAATAAGAGATAATATTACTAAGATATAATATTACTTCCTAGTAATGGTGCCCACATGGATAACTGCAACCACATAAAGCCTGAAAGAACTTGGGAAGTAATTCTAGACAGAAAAGAATATAGTTAAGCATGGTTTATTGATAACAGCACTTTCTCAGGTAGCCTCTGCTTGCTAGAGGTATCCACTCTCATTTAAGAGAGGCTTCCTGACTCAGCTTTAGCTGCAAAACTTTGCAGCTCTTTTAAGAGGCCCTGCCACCAAACACTTAAATAGTGTTTATGAATTGCCAATAGCATACCTCTTGGTGGTGTCAAGGACCTTGAAACACTGTAGAGTTGTGTCAATAAACATGGCTTCAACAGGTACCTCTGCCTTAAGGCTAGACTCCCAGAAAGCTAAGAAATGGACTGGATCCAGCCTTCAAAGCCACAGTTTTAATCCTATCCACATTACTTAGCAAATCAAAGACTCATGTGGTTAGAAAAAGAGAGATACAGTAAAGATATTATATCTTTATAGTTTCAGGGAAAAATCCTCTAAACAGTTTACAGTGTACTTAAAAATATATGTAGGCTCAGGAAATAAAAGAAACACAATAATGCCCTTAAAATAAAAAAGAAAGAAAGTAGTTGGATGTGGTGGCACACTCCTTTAATCCCAGTACTTGAGAGGCAAAGGCAAGCAGATCTCTGTGAGTTCAAGGACAGCCTGGTCTACAGAGTAAGTTCTAGGACAGCCAAAGATACACAGAGAAACCCTGTCTCAAAAAGCCAAAAATTAAAAAAAAAGAAAAAGAAAAGAAAAGTAAAAGAGTTTAAAATAAAACCACATAAAGATGAAAAATATACAGAGCGTCTGGATACTGTATGTTATTGTGTTGTCTTTAAATTGTTTGATGGCTGAGGAAGGAGCCAAAGTGTTGTAAGGAAAGTGAGTCCTTTGTTTATCCTGGCCACCCAGCTGGCTTACACCCAAAATAATCACACAGAAACTGTATTCATTTAAACACTGTCTGGTCCATTAGCTCTAGCTTCTTATTGGCTAATTCTTACATATTAGTTTAACCCGTCTCCATTAATGTGTATTGCCATGTGATTGTGGCTTACTGGCAAGGGTCTAACCAGTGTCTGTCTCAGGCAGGAGAACCATGATATTTTCCACTCTGCCCTTCTTTCCAGCATTCAATCCTGTCTACTCTGCCTACCTAAGTTGTGCCCTATCAAAAGACCAGGGTGGTTTCTTTATTCAACCAATGAAAGTAACACATAAACAGAAGGACTTCCTATATCACAAAAGCTGCTAAAAGATATTTGATTATAAATGCTGCTGGACTAATCTAACATGTGTATTTTGAAAATGCTTTGACTTTAAAATTTAAGTCAAAAGATATGTTACTTTGGAGAAGAATCTTTGCTTTTGTTTTCACAAGAAATGAGGGACTGTGGATTCATTCTGATTTGAGAAAAATCAGGTTTGTCCAAGGAAGACCCCCTGAGAAATCTCTCATAGGAGGAATGGCCCAGAAGTCTGAGTTCTACATTCAGAACAGTTCAAAGACTGCTGTTTGAGATAATCAAGCCTCACAGGATACTCCAGTCAGGACTTGATAATAATTCTAAATTTCTTTAGGTCCCCATAAGATTATCAGCACCCCCAATCAACAGGATGTAGCTTGGAAAACTACACCCATATTCCCCAAAAATGGATTATGGATGTTTGCCTTTGTTTAGAATGTTGGTTACAAGTTGCTATGGATAATGTTCAGTAGAAAAGCTAAAGAAAGGAGATTCAATTCAGAGTTCTTGTTTAGATAAAAAGGGGAGAAGTGTTGTGGGGCAATGGTCTGTACCCTGTCACTTGTATTTTAAATAAACGCTGGTTGTCCAATATTCAGGCAGGAAGTATAGGCGGGATGACCAGGTAGGAAGTAGAGACGGGGCAACAAGAATTCGGGGAAGAGAGACTCTCAATCTGCAGTCATCACCCAGTGGCAGAGGAGCCAGACAGAACAAGCAAGATGTGACTGCCTCACTGAAAAAGTTACCAAGACACAAGGCTATCCAGACAAGAATTGTGGGCTACTGTAAGTTACAAAAATTAGTTAATAAGAAGCCTGAGATAATGGGCCAATCCATTTATAATTAATGAAGACCTCTGTGTGTTTCTTAACAGCTGCAGGAACGGGCAGGACAGAAACTTCTACAACACATAATGACTAGATATTTGGATAACTAAATAATTGAATATATGTATTCAACATTTTTAGCTATTGGTGGAGGAAAGTTAAAAATCTTTAAGATTCCATTTTACCCCAGTTCATTACCTATCACCAAGGAAATAAACAGCAAAGGCAGGGAAGGACATGTGTAATAAGAACTCTTATTCACTACGCATGGAAGTATAAACTGGGACACTAGGGCAACTACTGTGGAACTCCATGGAGGCTTCTCAAAAATTTAAAATTTGAATGACTATAT